AACTTCAATTCGTTGGCCGGTACATTCAAATGCGACATCAGAACGCCTTCCTCCGAGCTGCTATTCTCAAATTGATAGTCTGCCTCCGTAGAACATTCTGCCGGTTCTTTCACTCCGCACTGCTCGGTTTGATGATCCACCTTAGTGAAAAGGCTCCTTATATTGCTAACTGTCCGAGCAAGATTCATAGTGTAGCAATTGTTCTCTCTACCTTCGCCGATCGGGCCAACGACAGTCCATCCAAGACTATACCTTATCGCCACCGGATCGTTCTCTCCACCAATGCGATATTCAAGCGGCAAGAATATGCTGGGTCTCTCCTGTAAACCAATTACCAATGTTACTTCATTCACGTTTAATTCCGTTATTGGAACACCATTCAAGTGAGGCCAACTCTTAATATCCTCCTTGTGGGCAATGCAACTTCCAGCGATAGGCATTTTCTCAACTGTCCGTACATTTGATAATTCCAATGACGTTTCCCCGTCCATAGACATGACTACAATGTCTAAGAGTTCACTATCGATTTGTTTAGACCCATTTATTCCCGAAAGTGTGAAATCGATCTTTCGTCCGTGAGCTTCAAGTTCCCTTTGCAATTTCTGATGAATAAGTGTAACTTCCGATCCACAGTCCAAGAGAGCATATGTTACTACTGAGAGATGCTCTCGTCCCTTGATTTGCACTTTCACTGGCACGACACTGAGGCAAACTCGCTCGCCGGCCCCAGTTGACGCAGATACCTTGGACTCCGCTTGTCGATCCTTCTCATTTTCAAATCTTGTTTTTTTACCATGCTCCTCATTCTGAGTTTTACCGTCACGATCCATTTGAGACGTAATTTCTGGAGGGTGCAACAAGGTATGATGCTCTTTATTGCAGCCTTCTTGTTGACATCTAAAGTGTGCCCTTGGGCATGTTCGCAGAAAATGTCCTTTACTAAGACATTTCAAACATAGGCGGTTTTCTTGAACAAATTTCCTCTTGTCTTCATAAGATAGTTTTTTATATGCAAAACACTTCCAAATCCTATGTGCCCCAGAACAGAACAAACATGTTTGCCGAGCTGAACTTGATGCACGATTCACGTCTTGGGTTTGCTGTGCACCAGCAGTTAATGTAGACGATTTCTGCACAAAGCGCCCACCTACTCCTTGTCCCTTTCCTCTCATTTTTGACGTACTAACAGAAAGATCTTCAGCAAATTCATTGTTCACAAGTCTAGCTCTCCCCTTCACAAACTTTAAAAAGTCTTCGAAATTTGGTCTAGAACCCGATTCAATTATTGTTCCAGCACGCTCCGTCCACTTAACTCTCATAAATAACGGAAGTTTCCTATTCAACTCACGTAAAGTGTTCACATGACTCAATTCGCTCTCGTACTCTGGTCCCATGCTGGTTAGGGTTCTGTTCGCAATCTCTAAATTCCTTGCAAATTCCAATAAACTTGGTCCATCAGCTTGTTTCAGGGCAGGTAGGTTCTCCAATTTCTTAATATGTGCTTTGGCAATTATATGGGGTTTCCCAAAGTTCTCCTTTAAGGTATTCTTTGCTGTAACATAACCTTGTTCAGCAGGCAGGTTCACACACGACTCTATTGCTTCTCGGGCCTTCCCATTACAATGTTGAATTAATAGTTGCAGTCTTGTGGCATTATCGGGATTGTCTTTCTCAAGACAAGTTTCAAAGTTATGAATAAATGATACATAGTTCATAGGGTCGCCATCAAAACTCATGTATTTAATTCTTGGAGTTGACACAACTTGTCGCAACGCTCGAACCATCTCCTCCCCATTGTCTCTCCTGGGGGCTATTGGCACCTCAAGCTCTCTTTCAGGTGGTTGCCATGGTAACTTAGTTGCCAATTCTTCTTGTAATCTTGGTACTGGGTGACATGCATCTAGCTTACCACAGTTTCTATTATTCCCCATATATACTTGTCGCTCTGAGGGTAATCTGGTATCTAGCTGCGGTCTATGATTTCCAGGGTAATTAAACGACTTACTTGTTTGAGGGATGAAAGCACTAGGATAACTTGTGTGCTCCATTACTGCATGACTTAAGATGGGGTAATTCACGACTGGGTGTCTCACCATTGTGAGTGTTGCATAGTCCCAGTCTACACTTCCGGCCTCCAATACTATCGGTCTATATACTTCATGTTGTTCCAAATGTTGTGTTGTTCTCGACAACTCTTGAATTGAAGGAAGGTCAGGGGGATAGCGAGTATAAAATTCACTTTCCAATTCATAAGCATTGGTCTTGGTCAGAGGGCTCAAATCAGATTCCCCTTGTACTTCATTACCATTAAAACCTGGCATATTATTGTCATACTCTCCAATATGTTCATTAGCTAATTCATTGTAAATATTAAAGCTAACCTTTGCTTGTTCTTCTTCCATTTGAGCTTCCATTAGTTCTTCTTGATATCTCAACTCTTCCATCCTCCTCTTCATTTCATGTCGTTGCATTAACTGATTTACTTTTAACTGTGCGAGAGCCATCTTTTCCCTTTTCTTTGACAAGGCTGATGCTGAACTTGTTCCACTTGTTAAACTACTAATCTGGCTTCGACCTTTACCAGATCCATACAACCTTGGCTTTTTACACCAAGATGCTACTACTCCGTCCAATTGTACCTTTTTTGCCATCTGTTCTTTGTATGTCAAACTGGCTCTTCTTTTTTCATCCTCAGCTGTGACAATTTCTAAATATTCCTCATGAACAGTTACAAATTCACACCACGTTTTATCATAAACATCTTTCTTCGACATAACCTGGCCAACATTCCCAGGCCCTGCATCAATAAGTCCTTGAATGTCTTCTTGTAATCTCAAAAGACTGTTAATATATTCCAACCTCGACTTAAATATAGTGTTTATATCGTCCAATAGTGACATATTTTCTTGTCGACTCTGACGACTCATACTAACAGAGTTCAGTAGCACTTCTCAATACATGCCAAACCCTTTTAAATGTCAAGTTTAGTGTCTACAATATATGTCATATATATATTTGGCTCAAACAATTCCAATATGCAATATGCAACTGTAATCCTCGTATGATACAGTACTATTTTCAAATAAACCCTTTTTTTTCTTTCAGAATACACTAAGACAACATTCTGAATCACTGATTGTCTATCCCAAGACAAATATTTCTACACGCAATATTATTGTAAATCCCTTGTAAATGTATATAAGAAATTCCTTAAAATAAACTCTATGAGGCAATACCCAAGTACACGATGTTTCTTCTTGAAACTAGTTTATAAATCCACAATACAAATTTGAGCAATCTTTGCACACAATTATCCAAACTTGGCAAATATCTTCCCTTGAAGACCAAATAAGTAAACACGAATTACTTCGTTATATTAATCAATATTCCAAATTAATAACGTATTCCAATACAAAGTCAAAGATCAAGTTTCTTAAACCAGGTACATATTATAAATATGTGATATATCCACAATGTAATGTTTACACACAATAGCCAATAAGCCCACAATTCCAAACCGTGGTTCCCGTATTTCTCGATTAAATACAACCAAATTTCAGACCAATTCGTCTGTAAACAATAAGGTACCTTCTTCCAAATCCGGAATGACACAATATCCAAACAATAATTATCTCCTTCCTGAAGACCAATCGTCTTTAACACAATTACACGCAGATTCCAAAAGGTTCTTAACTGTTACTGTCTTTGACCCCTCGTCAAAGTGGACGCCACTGTCTTTCGCATATCATGTTTTTTAAACACACATCCAACGCTTAAACTTGAATATTTATGTTACTTTACTTTCCTTACATCTGGTTTACTTACTCTTTGTTTACGTTAAGAACCGTTTGGTTCTTCATGCACTAATAAATGTTTTAATATCAACTTATGGCGTCCATATTAATCGCCCAAAACCCCTCTAAAACCACAATAAAATCTCGTGTTCTGTTATCACATGACCGGAAATAAATTTTCCCGGAAATGAATGTCCCCGGAAGACACGGTAGCCACAATGATGCTACTCTGAGTGTATATCTACACTGGGCAAGCTTGGAAAATATGCCTGACCACGGTGGGGAGCGAACCTACGACCTTTGGAATACTAGCCCAATGCTCTGCCAGCTGAGCTACGCGGTCTGGTCGGTTCGAGACCGACCAGACCGCGTAGCTCAGTTGGCAGAGCATTGGGCTAGTATTCCAAAGGTCGTAGGTTCGATCCCCACCGTGGTCAGGCATATTTTTCAAGCTTGTCCGATGTAGATATACACTCAGAGTAACATCACAAGCATCATGAGTAACATCACAAGCATCATATTCACCTGTATACACTTTATAATATATTTCGATCAAATTGTGGATTAAACGTGTACAAAAACACCTTCCATTCACTTATTCGCTGCTTTTTATTTTGTTCGAATCAATTTATCCTAAAAACATAAGATTATACAAACGACACTCTACCCTAGCGCCGAAAATTTTATGTAAATTTAAAATTTTATGTTGACAAAATAGTAGAGGTCACTCAGGTGTAGTACAGTACTTTTAGAGGAATATTAATAAACCAATACAATCAATATTACACTTACCTGAATTGTTAGATGCCTCACTTGACTGTTGCAAGTCAACGCCTGTGATGCAGCAGGCCTGGGGCGAGTGTGTTTTGGCGCGAAAATCCGAGCAGAAACCATTCAACATTGGCAAAAGCAGATCTTCATTTTTAGACAGTTTCCCCCGTTTTTCTCTCATTTCTTTGCTTCTGGACGAAACCTATTCAGGTTTACAGGTAAAATATTGCTTTTTCTATGGATACATTGAATTCTATATGTGGAATTCGTTGTGATAGACATTTAAATGTGGAATATCGTCCTTGCTCTTTTCCGACATGGCGACGAAAATCGTGAAAATATATTTTTCAACAACGATAATAACAGAACGGTTAACACCTTAGAATGTGGGTATGTTGAAGTTTTTTCCTTTAATATCTCATCTTTATATTTTATGCAAGTTTGGTGCAAGATGTATGAGCTGAAAACGACTGTTTTCTTATAAAATTTTATATGCGAAACGTTTTCCAGTTTTGTCGTTTTTGAGTAGACAATGATTATGAACTACATAACTATAAACGTTTGTTTATACACTTCAGTAGTTTTTCCAGAAATCTTCCCTTGGATCAACAGTCGAAGTTTTATTTTCCAAAGTTTTCAAAGAAACCGGCGTGCAGAAACAGAAACCAAAACGGCAGGTTAATTCTAACCCACTGGCACTAACTGGTTAGAGGGTCTTAATGGGGGTCTTTGGGTGTCAGTTGTCAGCTAAAATTTAAGCCAATTGTCAGTTGTCAGTGCGATATATTGCAAGCTGTCAGTAGTCAGTTACTGCAAAATGCTGACTTATAATTTTTTTCATCATTTCTCAGTAGTCAGTTAGGATATTTTGTCAGTTGTCAGTCAAAAATTCAGGCAAATGTCAGCAGTCAATTAACCCCATTCAGACCCTCTGGTTAGCACTAATCCAGCTTTGAACAACCTCCTCCTGCCCTCATCTGTAATAAACTTTCCACTTACGTTGCTTGTACATTCGCTGTGTTTTTAAAAACTTGTGTTTAATTTGCAAACTACGTAGTACTCAGAGTATTGTACATATTAACTATCAGTATTAATGATCAAATTAGTTTATTATCACACTACAAAAATGGTCACAAGAACTAAAGCCGGCATATCAAAATCAGCACCGCGGTGACACATAAAGCGCATGCGCAAGTATACGAAAATGGCGGGGAAAATGTCTGCCAAGATAACAGCAGTAAGTATGGGAAACAAAAAGCGTTACTATAAGGAAATGGCTGAAGTTATACGGACTTAGTTTAAACTCTCGTAATTTGAACTAGTTTAACCTTTTTGCTACAGCTTTGTGAAGGCAATACTATAGATCCAGCCTTTCGAGTGCAAGCAGTCGATACGCCGACATTTGACCGCAATCTACTTTTTCTTCATTTTTCACCAAAAACATGCTCGCCTCAGGCTACTTCCGCATCACACGTCCTGCCTCCTCCGCAGGCCCTCTTTGCGTCATGGGAAGGTCACGATTTCGAGAGGGCCTGCGGAATCTTGTAAAATGAATTGCTGCTTCGTTAATGAAGGCAGTTTTATTCGTTAAAAATGCTTCCTTCCACGTCCTAAGAGTCGCCAGTTTAATTTACAAGTTTCACGCCGCTTTTTTTATATCCTATTTATATTCAAGATATATAGAAATTTACTTGCTGATGTGACGCCGGCGCCATTTTTTTTACAAGATTCCGCAGGCCCTCGCCAGATCGTGACCTTCCCATGACGCAACGAGGGCCTGCGGAGGAGGCAGTCACACGTCGATCAGCGCGCGCGTTCGTTACTATATAATATATTGTTTAAAATAATTTCATTAAAGTTATTGCTGTAAACTTCGTAATGTAAACAAAAGCTTTGTGAACGGCTATATTTTTAAAATATGATATACTAACAGAATTTCTAACACTTCTCTGGTTTGCAATGCTTTGGGCAATGTTTATATTGACGTGCCATGTAGAAAGTAGGATTGGTCGAGTGCTGTGTCACGTTCAGTGAAATGTGTTCCAGTTCGGTTGAAGTTCGTGTCACTTCCCCATGTCAGACCTGGGTTTGAAGTGTAAACACGGTTTTAGAAATATTCCTGAAGAGTTTCTCTGGTTGTCCAGTCAGGATGTCCTCTGATTGCTCGATGTAGTTCAACAACAAGTGTTGGAAATTTCCTTTCACAATATTCTTGTGGTTTAGAGACGCTGCTCTGGACATTTGCAGGTGGTGTCTTGTCATACCAGTGGGTTGCCATGTTTCGAATGAATCTCAGTAGATCTGCGGCATCGTTTGTATACGCTGGACGACGTGCAGTCATGAAATTCATCACCCAAGTTTCGATCAATGATAACCAGTTGGTCAAACCAGGCAACTTATTTAATTCTTGAACAACGATTGATGTAGGATCCTTGGTTTTAATTTCTTTCTCGTTGCCAACACGTGTGACAAAATTAAAATTTTCTTCAGCTGTTCGCAGGTAGGGATGTTTCAAACATTCATGAACATTGGGTCGTTTGTGAGGATCACGTTGAAGCATCCATGTAATAAGATCTTTTGCACGTGGATCACTTAAATAACTCAAATAAAATATTCCATTTGCTATATTGCTAGTTCGATGAACTAGTTGACCATATGGATGCTTGCCTTTGGTCAAGACGTAGTAGCATAACATTCCAACAACCTGAATGTCCGATTCTTTCTTATAACGAACTTGTATAACTAAATCATCGCTTTCCTCTTCATTCGGAAGTGATTCAGCTGCCATCCAGCCTGCAGTTCCACTGACATCACCCTTCAATGTGGAATGCTCTGCTGGTAGTGTCCGACTAATTCCGAAATCAGCAAGCATCATCTCACCTTCCACACTTACAAGTATATTCGATGGTTTCAAATCCCGGTGAAGTATTTCCGGATTACAGGAATGTAGAGCTCTTACACCATAGAGTATTTGACGTATTATTCTTGGACCTTCCTTTTTTAATTGTTTTAAAGAGCGTTCCTTGTTCTCAACATAATCCCGCAAGCTTTCTTCATGCAAATCCAAAACCAAATAAGCTACTTTAGATCCAACTGGTTGATCAAAGAAGCGATAGTTAACAATGTGATTTTCTTTTCGAACGTTTGGACAATTTAAGATTGCTTTCTCATTGTCACCCATTTGCTGACATTTTTCCTGATCCATACACTTTACGGCCACTTCAAAGCCATCATCCGATAATCCAACATAAACTTTCGTTCCGTCACTTCCTTGGCCAATGCTAAATTTATCATCATCAAAACAAACACGATATGTTCCAACTTTCTTTGCCTTTGATGGATTGGTTTTTAAAAGTTTCACAAATTCTGACAGTTTTGAACCATGCTTTATCGACCTTTCTGTCCATTGAACTTCTGTGTTACTTGCTAGAAAAAATAAACAACGCAGAGATCCTAAGGATATATAGCGCAAAGTTTCCAGAGTCTGACCACAAACCATAAATCATCATTTAAGTTTTAATTATTTTGCCAAAATTTTTAAGTTATAGTAAATTTTCTTCCAAAATCAAAATAAAGTAGCTTCTTTTGTGTTTTGACGTTTCTAATGATTTTTGAGATATTCTATTTTCTTTGAAAAAGCAATGCAATTAACTGAACGTACGTCATACCCTATATGTGTTTTCTGGTTAAACATATTACTCAGTCCCCAGCTGCATTGTTTACACACATAATCGGATAAAGTTGTAGATATACACTACAGCATGCATATAGAGACAGACAGGTGAGGTTTTGAGGCAGACAAGTGAGTTTCAGGGATGATGTGAGGGCAAGGGGAGGGCATATTTTTCGTGGTGTGGCATTTTGCAACTGGTTCATAGCCTTTGAATCCCCCCCACACACACACACACACATCCTTGAGTGATGTTCAGTGAGATTTTGTTTTAAACAGCACAAAATTAGTAAGCATTGCACCTCTTTGATATCAAATTTATTTGAACTGTTACTAAACTAAGGTGACGCTGGATCTAGCTTTATTAATTGGTGTAATTCTAAACTGTTCTTCCTAGAGGTTCATTAGGATCTCAGATCTGCCAAGAAGGGGGACATGCAGGGGCATTTTAACCCAGTCCTTATGCAACCCCTTGGCAGCCCTGGCATCCAGAAGGACCTAGCTTCCACTAAACACCAGGGAGCACCAACATTCCACACCAGGGCCGTACACAGCGAGGGGGGGGGGGACTGCCCCCCCCTAGAAAAAACTATATTTATGATTTTTAGAATGACATTATTAATTATTCTTTGGGCATTTGGGACTTTTTTCGGCATATAGGCCTTACTGCCCCCCTGGTGAAAAAATCCTGTGTACGGCCCTGCTGTACACTCACTGCTTTTCGTGCCATAAATGATATCTTTCACTTTTAAACCACTTATTTGTTCCAAATAAGACTTCAGACTATCTTTTGAAGTTTTTGTGGAAATTCCTTCAATGAACACTTTGTCATTTTCTGAGATTTCTGTCTTCTTTCGTTGTGTTGTTAGTGTAGACTCTTCAAAAGAACCTTAAAAAGTGACAAAAAAAAATGGTACAGTAGTGATCATTAATTTGGGCAGTATCTCTAAATCTAGTAAATGGTCCTAATCTGCACAAATAGTTTTCAATTTTGTCAGTTCAATTTTAAAATAGGCCATTATACAATCAAAGATGCATTTAAAAGATGCATTTTCAAATAACATTAATTTAACAGTTAAAGGCGCTGCATGTTTATATGTGAGTCAGCAAGCCAGAGCTGAGGCATTAGCAGGCAAAAGTTGGTGGGGAAAAACTTGTTCACAAGTTACTTGGTGTAAGCTGTTAATGCCATGAAAGTCAAATTCATGCTTTACTGGACAAATTTTTTGATTTAATTAAAACTAGTTTATCAGCAAGATTGATTTAAGAAATCAGAGGTTGTTAATTTAGCCAGGAAAATATCCATTTTATTATATGGCAAGGTTTAGCCCAAGTGCAAAATGCAGCAATTTGATTGGTTCCAGCGGCGGGTACTCTGAAGTATGGACTGTCCACTGATCTTATAGTGTGGACTGCCAAGTTGGGCCGCTAGCTCGCAAAGAAAAAATTATATTAATAAACAATTCCCAGTAAAACAGACTAAAAATATGTGTCCGAGGAAACATTTAATACAAAATAACACTTTGTTTGAGAAATTATATATCATATTTTAAAACACTCAACTAGCACCTTGTTTGTCAATGCAGTTTTAGCATATAAAATCCCTTAATAATCTGATGGCCCGCATTCCAGGCTGTCACACACTTAACCCATTGAGTGGCAGGCTCAGGCAGCACTCTCTCCTTGACAAGTAAATTCTCTGGCGTTAGAAAGGGTAATTAAATAATAAAGTAGGGCACATCAAGGCAAATTACCACTCAAAGGTTAATTGGTGAAATATATATTTAACAGCACAGTATATAAGAACTGTTTAGCATAAATAATTAATATCAGGGCTGCCACTCTCCGTTCCCTATTTTCACCTATGGCGGGCACTGAAATCCCCTACGTTTCCCCTACAGCACGATATGCAATTGTCCCCAATGTTCCCCTACGTTCCCCTACAAATATTGTATTTTCCCTACTAATATTGTATATTTGTAGGGAAAATACACTGGGCTGTATAATAACTGTATAATACACAATAGAGAGTTAAGCTTCACGTTCAACGACGAACGTCAGGCAAAGAAAAATTCTACGATAAAAAGCGATAAAAAGTAAATGGGCTTGTTGTTTCATATGAAGGAAAATATGACACACAGAAATCGAACGACTTTATGCCAAGAAAAGTCGGCCTTGCCGTTTGGCGCTCCCGCGAATGTGAAGCTCAAACTCCCTATTACTGTAAAACCTGAGCAAAATTGCAAAAACCTAAAGTTTTTTCAGATAACCAGGGGGTGTGGAAATTGTAGCGGGCTCAAATCCGAGCCTGGTCAGTGGTGAGAATTACGGACCAGTTGTCATGGAAATGCCG